TCTGTCGTCCCCTTCTCTTGCCTTCACTCTTTCCTAACATCAGGGTCTTTTCCAGGAAGTCTTCTCTTCTCATGAGATGGCCAAAGTATTGGAGCCTCAGCTTCAGGATCTGTCCTTCCAGTAAGCAGCCAGGGTCGATTTCTTTTAGAATGGATAGGTTTGTTCTCCTTGCAGTCCATGGGACTCTCAAGAGCCTCCTCCAGCACCACAATTCAAAGGCATCAATTCTTCGGCGGTCAGCTTTCTTTATGTTCTAGCCCTCACTTCCATACATCACTAGAGGAAAAAAACCGTAGCTTTGACTATGCGGACTTTTGTTGGGAAGGTGATGTCTCTGCTTTTTAAGTTGCTGTCAAGGTTTGTCAATGTTTTCCTGCCAAAAAGGAGGTGTCTTTTAATTTCGTGGCTGCTGTTACCATCTGCAGTGATCATGGAGCCCAAGAAAGTAACATCTGTCACTGCCTCCATATCTTCCCCTTCTATTTCCCAGGAGGTGATGGGACCACTGGCCATGATCTTGGTTTTTTTGATGTTGAGCTTCAGAACAGTTTTGCACTGTCCTTTCACCCTCATTAAGAGGTTCTTTAATTCCTCCTCACTTTCTCCCTTCAGAGTGGTATCATCTGCATATTGGAGGTTGTTGATATTTCTTCCAGCAATTCTGCCTTGGGATTCATCCAGTCCGGCCTTTCCCATGATATATTCTCCATATAAGTTAAATAAGCAGGGGGACAATATACAGCCTTGTCGTATTCCTTTCCCAATTTTGAACCAATCAGTTGTTCCATATCCGGTTCTAACTGTTACTTCCTGTACCAAGTATAGGTTTCTAAGGAGATAGATAAGGTCATCGGGCACTCCCCTTTCTTTAAAGACTTGCCATAGTTTGCTGTGGCCCACACAGTCAAAGGCTTTTGCATAATCAATGAAGCAGAAGTAGTTGTTTTTCTGGAATTCTCTGGCTTTCTCCATAATCCTGCGCATGTTAGTTCCTCTGTCCACCAAATCGAGTTCCTTAAATCTGTTCCTCCCTTCCACTGTGTCTTCATAAGGGATTTTGTTTAGATTATACCTGACTAGCCCAGTGGTTTTTCCTACTCTCTTCAGTTTAACCTTGAATTTTGCTATGAGAAGCTGATGATCAGATCCTTTTATCTCTTGACTCCCTACTTTATCATTCGAAACCCCTATAATGAGCAGAACATCTTTGGTGTCAGTTCTAGAAGGAGTTGTAAATCTTCATAAAATTGGTCAGTTTCAGTCTCCTCAGCATTGGTGGTTGGTGCATAAACTTGGATGACTGATGTTGAAAGGTCTGTCTTGGATTTGTGTTGAAATCATTCTATCATTTTTGAGATTATATCCCAGTATAGCTTTTCCCACTCTTTTGTTGACGATGAGGGCTACTCCATTCCTTCTATGGGATTCTTGCCCACAATAGTAGATATGATAATCATCTGAATTGAATTCACCCATTCCTGTCCATTTTAGTTCACTGACGCCCAGGATGGTCAGAAATCTGAGGGAGATAATTGCCTCTTTCGATCTTTGATTTATATGAACTGACTCAAAGCCTGTTTTAGAAACTGAAAGACTATTTTCTGTGTATTTTGTATGCTACATAGTTATATCTGTACATATGTGTGTCCATGTGTACATTGCAGTGTGTAGTCCAAGTAAAGTGAGAGTGCATAGTACCTATACTTCAAATGAGTTTCTGCCTTGTGATATACATAAGCACAATTAATATGACTTGTTTGTCCTAGTGTTCATTGCTTCTGTTCCCAAACTCTGTTGTGCTGGGCAGTAAAAGGGAGCAGTTGTAGAGAAGGTAGTGGTTTCTATGTGCTATGTTGTCCTCCATATACAAGGAAATGTGAGTTTGCATATTAAAAACTGATGCAAATTAACCATGTCTGTTGCCTTTCAGGAGGCACAGAATGTTAAGTGAAAAAGAAATAGTCATTCGATCAGACTGACCCAAAGGCTTATGGTAATATTAATTGCCCTACCAACCATTCAGATTATTAGTCCTCCCCTATTTTTTTCCTTTAATCATAATCCATTCTCCAAGGAATAGATAAAGTGTGATGGAGACAGAATCCCTATCAGTTAAATTTTTTTTAAAGAAGGAGCAGTGAAATGGTATGTGCCGTGAGGTGCACATCCATACATGATCCTAGGTTCTCCCATATGCCGTCTTGCTGAAAACAAGTTAGAGGATAAAGGAGCAATTTAGTTATTAAAGATTTCTACCCTCATTTAATTCCAGATATCTTTAGATTTGTAGGATAAAGTACTAAACTTCTGAAGTGTTGTGGTGAGCAAAAAGCCACTGATAAAACTTCATTGTTAGCAGTGTCATGCTGTTGCACAGATTGTAGACTTTCTCAGTCATTGTATATGCATATATAAAATGCATATACAGTGGTGCCCCGCAAGACAGGCGCTCCGTTTGACGACGAAATCGCATCATGATGAACTTTTTGCAGTTGCAAAAGCGATCGCAAAACGATGTTCCCTATGGGGGAATTTCGCTTTGCGATGATCGGTTCCCTGTTTCGGGACCCGATCATCGCAAAGCGATTTTTTAAACAGCTGATTGTCGGTTTCAAAATGGCTGCCCGCTGTGTTTTCACACGGATTCATCGCTGCACAGGCAGTGAATATGGCCGTGCTATGGAGGATCTTCGCTGGACGGTGAGTTTGAAGCCCCTAGGAACGCATTAATCTGGTTTTAATGTGTTTCTATGGGCTTTTTAAAATCGCATCACGACGAGGCACCACTGTAATCATCTTAAAATTGCAAACATTTTTTGTCATAAGTCAGAATTGCAATTATTTTATTCCCATTTTTATTGCTTCCATCTTTCAAGCTGTTTAATATATGGCATTATACAGCTGTTGTTTGCTTATTAGGAACCTAAGTTAGTACAGTTTCATGAATGGCCCCTGTAATAAATAAGAAACTTTGGCTTTCAAATGATGTTTGAATTAAGACTGTTTTGTTATGCTGTGTGCCGTCATGTTGCCTCCAAATTCTGGTGACCCGAATAGGGGTTTGGAAGTACGTGAGATATTTAAGGAGTGATTTCCTTGGTGCCATCCATAAGGGACTTTCCATGGCCAAGGTATCCACTTTATCTACTGCACCACACTGGCAAATCTAAGAGACCATACACAAAATTTTAAAAGTGCGTGGCTTCATTATGTATCCTAGAAGTTGTCAAATATGATTTGCTGTGCCCTGTAGTTTTAGCATTCATTAGTGACTCATTGAGTTGTATATTATTATAGTTAGCAATAGTTGTTTGATAGTTTGAATTTTCTGGGTCTTTGTTTGCTTTTAAAAAATAAAACTGCTTTGTAAACTGAGGGAGCAGAGTTGCAACTAGGCTGATTTTCTGTCCAGATGTGTTAGTTTGGCAGGTGTAATATATGGCCTTGCTCTGAAACATAGGTGAATAATATTTATAAATCAGTTGAGGTGCTTAGGGGGAATGGCCTTAAGGTCATGGATTATGCTGTTAGGAGTTGGAGAAGAAATACTGGAGATTGGTTTTTCAAGGCTGTGGCCTGCCAGTTGCCTTACTCTTGCCTAAAATGTTATTTTCTGTAGCATGACTCAGAGTTTCTTGGGAATTTAAATGTCTGTGATGTGATGTGAGGAGGTGTAAATTGTTACTTAAACCACAAATGCTCTCATGGATTCCAAAAGTAGGAAAAAGCCATATTTCTGAAAGACAGGATGAGCAAAGTGTGTCCTCCCAAAATGTTGTTGAATTGCAACTTCCAGCATTATGTGCTGTTGGTTGTGCTGATTATGTCTCATGCTGGTTGCAGTTCTGCAGTTTCTGACAGGACCTTGTCCACCTTGCTAAGAGGCAAAGATGGGCAACACATGGGCTGCCTGTGGCTCCTATCCTTTTTTGTAGTCTCCAAGGGCCCATGCCATGAAAAAAGTGGTACTTAACTTTGTTAAGTGTCTTTTTTCCTTTGAAAAAAGGTATGTACTCTCTATGCCCCTTGCTTACAAGGAAATTCATACTCCCAAATCTCCCTAGAAGTGCTGATAAGCAAAAAATCTCTGAAGGTCAAAAATATAAATGTCAGCTGGGGAGCAGGAAATGTTTAGGTGATGATGGTAGGAGGCAATCCCAATTAGATTGATGGGCCCTTCCCTTATCCACCAGAAACCTGTAAGCATTTGCTATGCCAAGGCATTTTGAACACTCAGTCTTAAGGAAAGATTAATAATTACCCTGTTCATACTGCAAAACCATCGAGGAAGCAGAGTTTATAGAGAAAGCCAAATACATTGGACATAAAAAAATTATTCCCACAAGCTGAAGTTATTTTCATGTTAGTATTGTAGTAAAGGTACAGCAATCAAAGAAGTGTAAATTCTCTAACATGAAGTTATATTTCTCTAATGTATTTTGTGCATGGTCAAGGAAACTCTTACTCATGGCAACTATGCAAAATAACTGCTAGTCTTCATGTACAAAATTGTCCTCAGATGTGTTTGTACACATCAGGGATCTTCATGTGCCCGAAGTATTTTCCCCAAAGAAGACTAAAGAGAAGATACATTACAGTGCAGACTTACATTTGAAAGTTGTGTGGGTAATCTACAATTATTAAAAGCATACCAATTAGAAAGTTGTTCACAAACTTAGATTTTGCTGATTGTAAAAAGGAGGTATTGGGAAGGGTAATTCTCATACGAATACTCATTTCTTAATTTACTTATGCCATGGTTGTATTGGATCCACATATTCTCTCTCGTCACAAAATACTTGACATTGGTTTAATTTATCTTAGCTGCTGGAGGGGTTTTTGCTGCATAAAAGGCTTAGCAGAAAGTTGCTCTTGACAGAGAGTATTTACTTGATTAAGAAGCCTTTTCTGTGGCTTACCACATTTAAAACAGATGTGAACAACTAATTTATTCACAGCACTATATTTACAGTGTCACATATAACATTTTTCTGTTTCAGTGGACAGGCCAAAAACCCAACAAATTAGAACATCTAGTACCATAAGACGCACCTCTTCGTTGGACACAATAACAGGACCTTACCTCACAGGACAGTGGCCTCGAGATCCAAACATACATTATCCTTCATGCATGAAGGATAAATCCACTCAGGTAGGTTTGCGAAGCTGATTTGTTCTGATTAATTGTTGTCTCTCTCCATCTAAATTGCATGTTAATATCTAGTTCTGGAATTTAAAATAGTAAGCGATAGGCAATTTGTGATAGCAACAAAAATGAAATTACTTATCTGAGGGGACATAGTCTTTCCAAATAGTCTTTCCACAGTCTTTCCAAATAGAAACATCTCTGTAGTTCACTTTTACATTTCCTGTCTTTCCCCCCTTCTCCCCACTCTGGTAGCTTTGCTTCTTTATCACACAAGTCAAGTCTTGTGTTGTAAGTTACTCAGGACAGAGATTTATCTCTTTTTTTTGCTTCTAACATCCACTCGTTGTGTACTTTTAATATTGTGTGTTTCTACTTTCTGACCTTGGAGAGTTTCTCCTTCAGTGTTTTTTTGTGGGAGTTTCTCTCCCCATCTGGTTATGAAAAGGCATAAGAACATAGTGTATCAGAGGGTTAGGGTATCTGAGGATGCCTAAAATGAATTGCTTCATCTAGTGATCCAAAGGATAGTCTTAAGGTTTCGATCTTCAGCAGTAAAGCAAGGTGCTATTTGAGCTCTTCTGCAGCAAAGCATTTGGGCCATTCAGTGCATGCAGCAGTGTTGTACTCTGAGATGCACAATGCCATCTGCATAATCCCTGTGAGAGATCAAGTCTTTGGAAAAGTGTGCTAACTTTGCTTTGTGTTTGTGAAGCCTTCTGTTTAGTGGAGAGCAACTTCCTGCATTTATGAAAATAACTATTAAAATACAAATCATGAATAACTGAGACTTGGACATACAAGAAACAGTCATAGTTTAATTTTAGTCTGGCTGCTTTTCAAATAGTATGGGAGATTCAAGACATTAAAATCATACTTTTTAAAGATAGGTGTATAAAAGTACTAACAAATTACCTGTACAAAAGGTCTCTTCTAATACTTTTCATGTCTTTCATTCTGTATTTATTTTTCGCATAGTTCCCCAGTTTCTTTGTGTGCATGTGGTACCTGCAGAGATCAACAATGGCTGGTGCTTCAGGTTGTGTTCTTCCAGGAAACACATTTGAAATGATAGCATTTAGTTCCAGTGATTCCTTTCACTATTGCTTCTGATGTGAAGAGTCTTAATATCATGAGATGCTTACCCTTTCAGAAGTGACTTGAAAGTAAAGTGTTAATTAGGTGGGAAAGTCTTGGACCCAGCAGCTCCTGGCAAAAATAGCTCTTGGTTATAATTTTAAAAGGTTACCTAGCTTCTGCCATCCTTCCCCTGCCCCCCAACTTCACTGACCCACTCATTTTCAGTTCAGGAACCTGCATGTTTTCTATTTTTTTTTCATATACTGTAGCACTATATAGGATTCTACTTTCTGTTATGACTTTGGACTAGGTTATATTGGCACAGATATTCTAAGATGGTGGTTTACTATACCTTTACCTTCCACTGCTCTGCTAAAGGCCTTGTTGTAAAAGCTGGGATGAAAACTTTAAACTTTTAAGTGCGGGAAATTAAGGCCAGTATGACCTTTGAGATGGTATCCACTTGCTCACCATAAACACATTTTTTTTTACTTTCCCTAACACATAATGCTTAGTTATTTCAGCCTGAGTATGCCAGTTAGAATAAACAGAATTATCTCTGACGAATGAAATATTCAGTATGTCTCAGATTCGAGGCAAGTAACATGGAGATAAAAAGATTGATAAATGCACAGTCCTCCATCTGGGTCTTAATTATATTTGTGTTGAATTCTGGGGGTAAATATAAAATTGCTACTGCATTCTCAACAGTAGGGTTTTGGTTGTTAGGCTGAAACTGCTGTGATTATTCCGTTTCTGAATGGCCTATTAAGTCATGAAGCTAAGTAGTTTTCTCCTCGTTACTATTCTGTTCTGGTTGTTTTTAAAAGAATTTCAGGCTGTCCTTATTTACTTCCCACCTATGTCATTGTACTCTGTGCCTTTTAATATGTAATATGGAAGACTGCCCCAAATGCTCTTGATATTACTCATTATTGGGTAAAAGTTTCCTGGAAGGCTCACCCGGACCCTTGCGACGCTCCCCCCCACGGGGCCAGCCGAAACGAAATTGCTGCATTCACACCATTAGACGCACTGACTTCCCCACCCACATTTTGGAGGGGGGAAAGTGCGTCTTATGGTGCAAAAAATACGGTAAGTAGTTTTCTCCTCGTTACTATTCTGTTCTGGTTGTTTTTAAAAGAATTTCAGGCTGTCCTTATTTACTTCCCACCTATGTCATTGTACTCTGTGCCTTTTAATATGTAATATGGAAGACTGCCCCAAATGCTCTTGATATTACTCATTATTGGGTAAAAGTTTTCTGATATATTTATTAATTATACTGCGATATCAACAAAGACTTATGCATTGATTTGATTATTCAGGAACATCTGACTGTTGATTACTTGATCCTTTGACTTGATAAGGCTGGGAATGTTGGAGAACTGGGAGCAATACTATACTAATAGAATGATTACATGCTTGCTAGATGTATGATTTTTAGGCTGTCCTACGCAACAGATGTGTTCAGTGATTTGCGTGCTCTGGGTGGATTCATCTTTCATTATCAATTAACTCAGTTATAGATATACCTGGGTTATATTTACTGCATTATTACTGGAAAATGCTGTATACTGAGTTCAGGGTTTGGAGAAGAAGAATTACTCTGTGGTAGAACATATATTTTGTAGGAAGAAGATCCTGATTCAGCTTCTGGCATTTCCAGTTAGAAGGATTAGGGAGCAGGTCATGCGGAAATGCCTTTTCTAGACAGCTACTGTCCAAATTAGATAACATTGATTAGAGAATTATTTGGTTTATATAATGCACTCTGACTTAAGAGTTCTTATGTTTAATATACAGTGGTGCCTCGCTTAGCAATGTTAATCAGTGCAGCAAAAATCGCTGCTAAGCGATTTCATCGCTAAGCGATTTTAAAAAGCCCATAGAAACGCATTAAAATGTGTTTAATGCGTTCCTATTGGCTTAAAAACTAACCTTATGCGAAAATCCTCCATTGTGGTGGCCATTTTCGGTGCCTCTAAAGCGAGGCAAAACAGTGGGCGGCCATTTTGTTTCCCCGGCAGCCATTTTGGAACCGCCGATCAGCTGGCCGAAAATGGGGGCTTTGCAGTGATTGCTGCCCTGCGATCATTGCAAAGCAAAATTTCCCCATTTCATCGCTATACGGAGCGATCGCTATGCGAGGCACCACTGTACTGGATATGAAAGTCTTTTCAGTCTTGATACTAGCTTTCCTTCCATCCTTGGTTATTTAGATTTATCACTAGAGATGGGGACGAATTGCCATTTTGGTGATTCATCCTGCTTCGTGATCCGTCAAAGTCGATGAAGCACGAAGCTCCCCCATGAACCGATGAAGCACAAATTTATTCGTCAATTTGTTGGGGGGGGGTTAGACAGCCAGAGGCTGTCTAAAAAAAGCCCTGACCCCCCTGCTGCCACCCCCACCCCTTAAGACAGGCTAAGGGAATCCAGGCTGTCCTTTGCAAAGATGGCAGCTGCAGCTTCCCTACCCTAAATGAAGCCACAGCCGGCATCTTTGCATAGGGCAGCCAGTCTCCCTTACTGCAGGCTGTGTCTGAGGAAGGGAGAGGAAGGGGGTGGGGGGTAGGTTGCTGCCTGTTAGCTCACCAATCAGCTGATCGGCGGGCCCATAGGCAAAATGAGAAAGTCGTAGGAAGAGAGGGAAGGCTGGCCTCTTTCTTTGGAGACAAATAAGAATGGGGAAATATTCATCCCTTCGTACTCATTGGGGTTTCTGGAACTGACATATATGAAGGGACAAATATTTAACAAATCAATGATTTCTCACGAATATCTCATTCCGTTCTCACCAATCCCCTATGTGTATTTACCACACTTTATAGACCACTAAACTGGTTATGATCTGCTTTAACCCAACCTGACACGAAGTCCAAAACCAAATCTAAATATATATATATATATATAACTCTATGTAAAATCATCATCATCATCGAATTGCAGAGCTGGAAGGAATTCAATGGATCATCAAGTCCAGCCCCCCATCATGGAGGCACAGTGGGGAATCAGACTTCCAACCCCTCAATCCATAGCCAGATGTCTAAACCACTGAGCTATCCAGCAGTTCATTTGCTTATGTCTTAAATAACATTTGAAGACATACTGTATATACTTGAATGGGTTATGCAAGTTATTATTCGGAATTTGGCATTTGTTTTTGTTTTCTACAATAAATCACATAATTTTCCCTTCTAGGAGACCCATCTGGCAAACGGATATCTACAGACATCTTAATATGGCTCACTTGGTAGAAGGACCTAAGGTAGGCGGCTTTGTGGCCTTGTACTGTATAGGCCTAGCTCCACCTAGCTTCCTATTAAAAAAGGAGGCCAGGCAGAGATAGGCCTGTGTTAGGCTACAAAACCTTCTAGCCTAGTCCTCTCTCCTAGGTGAAACACATTTAGGTGTGTGCCTGCCAAATGGGATTCCTATATTGGGGAATTATGGGATTTGTAGTCAAAAATAGCACATCACATTATATAACATCCTTTTTAGCAAGAGGAATAATAATTTTCAGATCTTCTTTTACCATAATTAGAGGAATAACCTCTGCATGGCACCGCAAAATTGGTTTAGTGGGACCATATTTAGCAGTGATTTCCTAAGTGTCATGGGCTTTACTGGAGAAGTGGGCATATGAGACTGACAAAAATGAAGTTGCAATTAAAAATAATTTGATGTATTCTCGTAGGCTTTCACGGCTGAGATCAGATGGTTGTTGTGGGTTTTCCGGGCTGTTTCGCCGTGTTCTTAAGGTTTTTGTTCGTAACATTTTGCCAGTCTCTGTGGCCAGAGTCAGACTCCTGTCTGAAGATGCCGGCCACAGAGACTGGCAAAATGGTAGGAAGATAAGCCTTAAGAACACGGCCAAACAGCCCGGAAAATGCACAAAAACCAAAAATAATTTGCTTTACAAA